TTTCACTTTACTAATAAGGTAACCCTGCAATTTTTTAAATTTAATGAACAATAAATAAAATCTCGATCAAATAAGATAATTAGTTTCATTAAATTTTACGGGACTGATTTGCAATGAAAGATTATCAAAATTAGTAATACTTATATTTTTTTCGTTGGAGGCATCAACTAGGGGCTTTTGCCAACGAGTGTAGTAGTTTTAGATGGAGTGTCGAGGTGGGGCTTCAAAGGGTGGCCGGTCGGGCCCTTCTGGTGTAAGTGGTGATGGCAGTGTCGACCACGTACCGCAGGTGGCTGGTGAACGGTGTAGGCAGCTCCTTTAAAGGTTTTTTGATTATCATTATTATGATTATTTTTTCAGATCGGATTAAGATTGTTTTGAGTGTATGATTTTGAGAATCTGAGTATAGGATACTTTTAATTTTGATACCAAATTAATGTAGGACAAACTAGGGTTGATTTGCCTACTTAGAATTTAGGGAACAACTTTGATATGACACCTAGATTTCTTAGGTATCACACCTAAGAATTGCTTGAGTCACACAATTAATTATGAAAAATTTTCAAAAATATTTTAAGTATTTCATTCGAGTTAAACTAAAAAAATAATAAATTAATATAATTAATTATACTAACTCGAGTTCAAATAAAAAATAATACTAATAACAATAACTTTCTAACTCTGATAAGATTCTTAAATTATAAATTGAAAGATAATCTAACAATAAATAAATTTCTATTATAGTTATGCACCATCAGACACATACTACTTTACGTTACTTTAGACGCCCTTTTGCTCTATGGAAAGAAAATTTGTTTCTTTTCTGATTTAAACTTCTTTTATGAATTTTTGAAGATTTGTTTCTTTACTGGTTAAAGTTTCTAATATCTTGTATGTGGCCATTCAAACTAGATCTATTCTCAGCGCAATATATATGAAGCAGGGCAGAAGAAGATAGCATTTAAGTATCTTACGGAAAAGGTAATTCATTGCACTTGTTTCCTTCCATGTCTGCTGCTTATATAAAAGGCATTTTACTTGTATGAGGCTCAAAGCAATGATTCTGTTAGGATAAGTGCCTTTTTGTGATGATTTGAGGAAAATTTTCATTAACTAAAGCAGTTCGAGACATAGGTTGCTTATAATACCTTTTTAACCTAGCAGCAATTGTATTTATATTTCGTGGTAGAACAGTGGTCCAGGACTTGTTAAGTTGCCAGGTAAATTTGGTCAGTCTAATGGTGAATTGTGTGTCCAGTTAAGATTCTCTTGTTATCTGGTAATTCAGCTATTCGGGACATAAAATTTGGAAATAAAAGAAATCAGAACAGGAAAAAACACATCCTTAAAATGTTGTATTAATTTTCCAAAAGTTATCCATAGACTCTGTTTTGATTACTGGAAAATGACTTGCTGAAGAAACATATTTCTGTGGAGAATAAATAAATGCAGTAAAAGATATCTTCTTCTATTTAGCATGCATTCTTCAAGTTTTCTTAAAGGCCTATGCAGCTATTATTATGTGCGTACAAGTGACAGTAAATGGAATAATCTGATACTTTTTTATTTGATGAATGTGTTAAAATTTCTTCCTAGATGAGTATGAAAATTATTTTTTCCTCCCTTCAAAATATACTGACAAAATTGTTATAGTTATAATGATTGTATGGTACAAAATGTAGATAGCGCATAAACAAAGGTTTGAAGAAAAACTAGGATTGAAAAAAAAAAAAAAACCGAGAGTTCCAGGCTTCTTCAGAAGAGAACTAGAGAATTGGAAAATAACTATGGCGAGATTGCTTCATGCATGGCAGGAGGAAAGAGGCAATATAGATTAATTTGTATAGAGTAAAAAGGAACAAATAATTGGAAGTCATTTTTCTCCCTTTCACTGTGTTGTTCTTTAATTGAGAAGTTTTTTCAGCTGGTTATTGCTTTTCCCCAACTGATAGCAGAAAAACAGAATTATATATATATATATATATATATATATATCTATGACTTGAGGAAGTAAACTCTGGCAAATTAAATGGGGCTTTAGCATCGTTACTGTCCCATTGACTATTATCAGTTGACAATTGAGATAATGAAAATATTCCTCTATTTTCATTTAACCTTCAGGAAAATATATCAAAAGAGGGTGGCCCTTTGCATTGCATTTTTCAGGCAATAAAAATTAATCCAAAATATAGAAAATCTGTGTCATCATGAACTAAGAAACAAATTTAATATTTTTGCTTGGGGACTACAAAATAGTTAAGTTGTGTCACGAGCAAACACGTGGCTGTTTCTATCAAATTGAATTGTGGGTTTTTGTGTTGGTCCTGCAGGCAGCTGACAGAGAGGACGCAAGATCAGGCTGCATAAAGTCGGAAGGTGACTTATTTATAAATGAAACTCGATCAGGGTTAATGGCTACCACTGCTGAATCCGAAATATTTCATCCCAGCGAATACTATCCAACTTGGACAGTTGAAGCTCCAACAGAAGCTCTCAAACAGTTTCTTCAGCACTGTACAGGATGGCAAAGGATTCCACGTCCAGCTGACAACGCCGTGCCTGTCTTCGCCTAATTGCCTTGTAATTTTTCTCAACTCAAATTTCCTTCATCGGCTGAGATCTCCCCATTTCATTACCTATAGTTAACTAAAATACTAGCTTTGACTATGTCGGGAACAAATGAATTTTTTTTTAAAAAAGGTAAAATTTATTTACGAAAGTATATAAAAAAGATAAATATATAGGTTGGCTAAATAAGTTCCACCCTTCTGGTTTTCTCAAATTCATTTGCTCCAAACATTATATGAAATGAATTCACTCTTGTCTACATTTAAGTTGGTGTCCTACTTTAATTACGTCCATGTCTTCTTATCTATCATGCTGTAGGTACGTACATATTTTGTCACGTGTCATGCTGTATAGACCTGTAATTCATTACGTGCCGTGTTTTGAAGTTTGTTGGGTGATTTCCTGATTCTTAACTTGTGGTTGTGCTCAAGACTAGCTAGTTTAAGAGACGTTTCCTGATGGTCCATGCATCAGTTTGCTTTGTGAAATTTAAGGAGGTGATCTATTTGGCGGTGTGATTGACAGTGAGTGATGGAATTACATTCATAAAATTTTGTTGCTTTTCGTTGAATTTTCCTAAAAGCATGCATGGAATTTGGGAGACTTCATTTCTACGTCCACATTCAAGTTTCTTACTTGGCTTTCAAATTATAGATTTGAATTGACAATGAGTATTCATTATAGAACATTTTTCTCATTACAAGACTTGAAAACAATATATACAAAAGTCAAATGAGAGGTACCTCATATGATGCATCTAATTAAATCATCTATTGAAAAAAAGACACAAAATATTGGAACAAGTGAGGGGCTTTTGCAACTTGCGTTAGCTACATTATAAACAAGTTTGACGATAGAAAAAAATGGGTAAAGGACAACTAACATTGGAAGTAAGAGGCAAACTAGAACTAGGGTAAGATAATTTTGAAAATATAAGAACACAAGATGGAAGTTGAAAAATAGTGCAAATATGGTCTATTTACAGAAGATCATATGAAGTCACCATATTGACGTATACTATTTTCATATCATTGAGCACTGTTCCCAAAAACCTTAAAGTTATAATTAGCTAATAATCCCAAACATAGAGTTTGGTAGGAGTTTTACTCCTTGATAATTTAATTTAGCATACCAAATTACAAAACGGAGTCTCGAATTATTATTCGTGTCAGTCTAATTGTATACTTTATTTCTTTACATGTGATCTTGCAAAAAGTATCCTAATAGATGGATGATTAAGAATTTAAGGTTTTAGGGATCGCATGTGGCGGATAAAGTTTATATATTTTACTAAAACGACTATAAAGATTGAAATATCCGCCTCTACCATCTTTAAACTTTTAAGTCATTTTTTTTTTGTACTACTAGAATGTTTTGTACTGACTCTAATTAATTATTTATCTTTATATACGCTCGTATAATGTAAAAATATATACACATATATACAAAAAATACTTATTTAAAATAACAAATAATACACATATAGACTCCATGGCAGCCTTTATCACGTCACCATTTGGTTAAACCAGCAGTTCTGAGATCAACTATGAGATCAGTGCTTAATCTTCAGTAAATTATTGGATTTGAAGATCGCGCACTGCTCTGGGAACTATAGTTTTGTTTCAATTCTGGACTGGTTTAAGTGTTTGCAATGGCTGGTCTTATTCCAATTTCCTCGTGAGACTTTCGGGACCGTGAATACAATAGAGGATGCTGATTCTGGAGTACCACACCATTGTTATGCCTATTTAACAGTCTGGTAATGATGTATTATCGTTGTTGAGATTCGGAAAGCAGATAGTTGGAGAAAACTGAAAAAAATATTTAGGTATTGTTTGGATGAATCCAACTGTGAAATTTCATTTATTTTCAAAGTGAATTCATTTGTTTAAAATCAGTCTATTTGCCTGGCATAAATCAATAGATATTATTATATGTATTTGTTGTATTTCACTCTAATTACTACATATTTAGAGTAGTATGAAAGCCATTTTGATATATATATATATATATTTCAAAATTTTAAGTCATTTGAATTATGTTTTGTTTGGTAATTAGTTGTTCAATTCTTAATGAAATCCATTTCAAGATTAATTCAATTCTTTTCAAATAATTTATGAATAAATTATGACTTTACCAATTGGTTCCACCTTTTTCAGAGAAG